GATAACCATTTGGACGCCTCGTGGAGGGTTATGGCCAAGTCTCCATCGCTCGGGGTCAGGACGGGGTTTTCTAAATGCGCTGCCGGAGCCCGGCTGGACGTCGGCGCTTGGCTGGGGACGTGCCTGGCCGGGGTTCTCTGGCCTGTCTCACCCAGGAGGCCAGGCTAGATGGTCCTAGGGGTCCCAGGTGGCCTCACAGTCTGAGGGGAATTGCACGTAGACTGCAGGTTCTGATGCTGCTCCCTGTGTCCCGTCCCCAGGGCAAGCACTACCGAGGGCTCCTCGACTGCTTTGTGCAGATCTTCAGGAAAGAGGGCATCCTGGCTCTGTACAAAGGGATCGGTCCTGCCTACCTGCGCCTGGGACCTCACACCATCCTCAGCCTGCTCTTCTGGGACGAACTCAGGAAGCTCACCTACCGCCACCAGCAGCATGGAGTTTAAGCCCCTGCAGCCGTGTGGCAAATCTGCCCCGAAACCCCCCATCTGGGAACTCTGGTGCCCCCGGGCTAGCGGGGAGCTCCCAGGGGGCGGGGGGTGGGGAACCGGAGATTTGGCAGCCTGGGAGACCAGGAAGTCAGCTCAGGGCTTTCGGGCTGGGGAATCACGCCAGAGCTGTGGGGCTTGGGGAGGGAGGAGCAGCGTGTCCCAGCTCTGACACGACTCCCTTCTGGGACCTTGGACAAGCCCATAGCACTGCCCTGTGCCGTGGTCTCCCCACCTGAAACAGGGATCAGCCTGGCTGCTCCGCAGGCGGTTGTGAGGGTTACATGGCGCTTTGCAAAGTGCACGGATGCGAGGGGCCAGACGATACGTGTGCCAGGTGGATTCTTACCCAGCACGCTTGGCCTCCGAAGGACGTGGAGGAGCCGGGGCTGTTTCCAGGCCTTGTCTGTGGAGGGGTTTCCCTGCTGCAAGCCTTGGCCGCCTTCCCTGAGGGATTCGTATTTAACCCATCGCGCCAGGAGCTGCCACAGGGAAGGATGAACTTGTGGCCACTACAGAGATTTCAGTCTGGAGGCAAACCCTGCAGCAGAGTCAGAGCGCTCTGTCCTACGGGCAGGTACCGGCAACACCTGCTCCCAGCGGGACCCTGCCTGCCCCAGACACGC